TATGTTTTCCCCTTTATTTTAAACATACCGGTATGGTTCCGTTCTTTCTACTCTATATTCAAATCTATTATCTAAATTTCTTTTACACATTAATGAATTCAATACTATTTTTGTACCAGTTGACTGTAGTTGTAGACTATTGTAAATTTATTATATTTTCTATATTCTGGAAATTTCCTTATGTAAATCCTATTTCATTCTACATTCATAAATGATACCAGACGACGACATTGAAATTATAAGTAAGCAATGTGACTTCGTTCGCATCACATTTTTGAAGTTGAACACATAAACATACTTTTAATATAAAATATTTATGAATTGCATTACTAATTGTAAACACGGCATACAAGAAGACCCTAGCCTAGCTAAGGAACACAACAGATCAATGTTACTACTCGCGGATACGATTGCATATCCACGTTCACTGTACTCGCCAAATTTAACACGTATACAACCAGTCGCCCGTGCCGCTTCGGACCTACCGTCCTACGGCATGATTGGGGACCAGAGGAATAAAAAGCATGCGACTCACCCGATGGTAGAAGGGCTCCGTATAAGACAAGAATCTTGAATCAAGTGGAGCTTTGCCCGTGGACATCTTATTGAGTACTCAGTGATGAATTTGAGATTTGCTGGACGACATTATCCTGAAAATCCTGATGAAAAAAATTATTAGTTACCGCCTCTTTTAACACGTTAATATTCTTTGATTCTTTCTCATTTAATTTATAATTAAAATGATTCAACTTTGTATTAATAACAATTGAAAAGCAAAGATTGGATTCTTATTAATTTAATAGAATTCAGTCATTAAGAAAAAGACCCTACTGGAAATTCATTTTTAAAGACAAAAAGACTAATCATGATTCTTTAATAAGATATTTGACTCTACATATTGAACAACCCATGGGTGATCCCATTGTCAAAGCCATTGCAAGACACATAACATAAGTCTAGCTAACATGATACTTTGACTCAAAAATCTACCCATCGCAAAATGTCTTCTTATACATGATCTCTAATATAATGTGTGTATGCAACACTTTTTTTTAATGCAAAGTATCAAATTTTTCAATCATGCAAAATATGAAATTAGATCAAGCTATTCAATGATATTCTCATTGGATATCATTCTGTATTATCATTGTGTGATTATATTGGTTAATGCAAGGAGGAAGCCTGAGATTGTCACATTCCTCCACTAATGGTTCATTCATCATATATGTATTCAATATATTCTAGCCTACAGAGATTCATATGTACAATGCACTCAAGGATATGCATTGAATAGTAAGAGTATTAATACTGCTTTGTCCAATTATAGAATGTTTATTAATTGTATCAGTAGTAGAAAATGCTATGTATAAGAAGACCCTACCCTAGCTAAGAAATACAATTGATCAATGTTACTACTCAAAGGTATGATAGCAAACCCACGTTCACTGTACTTGCCAAATTTAGCACATATACAACCAGTTGCCCATGCCATGTTGGACTAATTGTCCTATGGTATGATTAGACACTGGAGGAATAAAAAAGGCATGCAAAGACTCACCCGATGATAGAAGGGCCTAGAGTCATTACTGGTGGAACTTCACAGTAGGATGTCTGTTTTAGTGTTTGACTAAAAACAAAAGGACAAGACAAATTTATTATACTCAATATTATTATTATTGATAAATGTTACACGCTACTCATTTAGTTTATAATATTTATGTATTATGTTGCAGCATAA